GAGGCCACGGGGACGGGATGGGGAACGCCACTGACCTTTCACCTGCCGCACGGAGGTGAGGTTCTTCTCGAAGCCGTCATCGAACTTGGGGTTGGTGACGGGCTCGAAGTCGCTGGTGTAGACGCGCCCGGAGGACGTGGAGCAGCAGCACTTGCACATGCAGGTGTGGTAACGCAGTCGGCCCTCATCCAGGTACGGGTGTGCCAGCGCGTCCTTGGCAGAGATCCGCTTCGACTGTACAGAGAGTTCCAGTCACAGGAATGCGGGGTCACATAAACGACCTGCTCCGGATGCCATCCCATTTAAATTTATCTATGCTTTTATTAATGAAATAGGGGCGGCATAGTGGCTCAGTGGGGACTGTGGTGCTGTTTACCACCATTCCATCCACGCATCTGCATGGCGCTCCTGAGCTTTGGGTGCCCCCTGCTGACCACAAACAGCCACTACACAAAATATTAAAGATGTTGAAGCAGCATGTTATGCTAACCAGCTAAGATATTCCATCTCTACTTGCTAGTAATTATTTAGTTTTTGAAATGTGTGTGTGTCGGGGGGGGGGGAATGTATCCATCCTCCGGCAAGTACATGAACAGTCACCCCTCCAAGGCCTGTGTAACACTTGAGTTGTGAAATGGCGCCCCCATGTCCTCAGCACACAAAACGCACCCATATCTAGCTGTGTAATTCTTGGTGGCAGAAATAAGCCGTTAGACTCCGGGGGGGGAAGGGTCCTATTTCCAGTATTTACGGCCTGTTTCTCTGCGGAGGGTCTACCGTGTCCATGACATGTATAAATCTCTGACAAAGCCAACATGGCCCTGGGTGGGCAGTCACATGGTTTTTTTTGACCCCCCCCCCGCGGGTTTTAAACTCCCATAACTAACAAGAGCAGTATTAGTTTTCCTTCGATGTATGCCTGGCTTCCTCCCCAACATAGAATTTGAAAACAGCATAGAGCTGCCTGTTGTTTTGTCTCTGTGTTCTTGTCCTTATCTGCAGAATATAAAGCCCCTCTATGTATCTATCCAAAACGAGCACTATGTAAACCTGAACAGAGTGAAGCGGGCTCCTAAAAGTCACGCCAAGTTTATGGACGGTGCCAGAAAGTTCCTCCGGCACATGGCTTAAGACTTTTAAGAGCTACACGTCCTTTCAGCGTGCGGACATCAGCATTTTCCAGTTGGCTTCACTATTGGTAATGGGGGGTGGGGCTTGTGAGAGGTCAAGTTCAGCGCTCTGAGGACCTCTCCCTGTGGGACAGTGACTGGGGGGTCACAACACACAAAGCACACCACACACGCTCAGACACACACAGTATGGGAAACTTCAGGAGACTGTGAGCATGGATAAGAATCACAACCCCCACATCACACAGTCATCTGCACAGAGGAATGATCCCCCCCCAACGGGACTCACCGGGTCGAACACAAGCATTCTGCACAGGAGGTGCACTGCTTCATGGGTGGCCTGGCTGGACAGGGTGTACAAGACAGGAAGTGATGGCTGTGGAGACAGGAAATGACACGGCACATCACCGGCCATGACAAAGGCAATCTTATGCTGAATCAGTGCCCAAACCTTTCAGATAATTAAGAAAAAAAATCCACCTTCCACCATGTTCTTTTACATGAATGAACTTATCCTCACAGCCAGCTCCATCTCAGTGAGCAGGGACATGGGAAACAATGTGCAAGCTATTTTTATCCTCTAATTACACCCACCCCCCTATCCCCCCACCCCCAGTGGCAGTCTAAAAGTTGATCGAGCAGCCTGCTGGTTTGTTTTTCCTGAATAGGGCCTCCTGAGCACACAGATGGAGGTCCTGGCTGGTGACATACACTGACTGGGAGGGGAGACCAGTTCATTTATTTTGTTCCCCCCAGTGCTCTGTGGATTGGGGGGCCGGGGGGGGTATGGGGGACGCCATGTGCCGAGTCCCAGGTGTGATCAGCTTGTTGAGGATACCCCCAGTGTGTCTGATTCAGGCTGCATTGTGGCCGTGTTCTATGCATGAATCACACCTAATTAGGAGACACTTTTCTCCAAAAAGTGTAGGATCAGCCAGTCCCTGGATGACTGGGGTTAAAGGCCTCGCTCAGGGGCCCCAACGGCGAAAATCACACTGCCAACCCTGGGATTTGAACCGATGACCTTCCGGTGACAGGCCCAGTGTCGTGACCCACTGAGCCACAAACCGCTGCGGTTTCTGCATGCTGTTAACATCGCGGTTCCCATGGACAGTGCACGCGGTGTACACGGCACACACGCGTGTCTCCGCATCGCTACCGGGTCCCCGCAGCATTAATCCTGGATTAGCGAGGCCCGTGACCCCAAACAGATCAACGTGACCAGCTTGCGCAGACCGCGGTGCACCTCCGAGATCAGCCGTCGATGTCTCACACCAGGTCTCATGGCATCCGAAACAGGCCTGCCAAGGGGGGGTGGGGGGGACACCTGTGAGCTATGGAGCACCGGACAGTGAGTGCAGGTGGCCAAGCAGTTCCACGTGTTCATGGCGAACCTCCACAAATGGGGAGAGACTGGACTTTAACTGGGAGGTGGGGATGGGGTCATTGGAATGCTTCCGGAAGGTAGCTAGGAGTGTGATTGGGGGGGGGGGGGGGGGGGGGGGTTGGTCTCACAT